CTGGCCTACCATACCACACTGACGTGCGGTGGTTAAGCAGAGGTGCAGTACTTAAGCGCTTCTTTGAGCTAAGAGGGGAAATTGGACAGTTCATGGAGAAGAAGGGATGCCCAGTAAAGGAACTTAAATGCAAGGAATGGGTGCAGGATCTTGCGTTCATGGTTGATATTACACAACACTTGAATACACTTAGGACTCAATTGCAGGGCCGTAACAGAGTTGTCACTCAATATTACGATAGCATAAGTGCGTTCAAGATGAAACTGTCATTGTGGGAGACGCAGCTATCCAACAGTGACACCGCGCATCTCTCTTGTCTCACAGCTGTGCGTCCCAAGGCACCGGACCTTCCCGATAATGATTTGGATAAATATAAAGATAACATAACAGATTTGCTGCAAGAGTTTGAGCAGAGGTTTCAGGTATTCGGTAAACTTCAAAACAAATTTGGCTTTTTCGCTTGCCATCTACAGCGAAGCCTTCTGATATGCCAGCTGACATTCAACTGGAGCTTATTGACTTGCAGTGCGATTCCACTATGAAGGATAATTTTAGGTCAGTGGGACTGGATACGTTTTATCAATATCTCGTGCCAGGTTACCCCAAATTAACAGCCATGGCTGCAAAGGTTCTATCCATGTTTGGGAATAGTTATCTTTGTGAACAGGTGTTTTCGGTAATGAATAATAATAAAACAAAGCTGCGCTCAAGGTTAACAAATAAACACTCGAATGACATTGTTAAATGTGCTGCTACTCAGGATTTGACACCCAATATCGATGCACTTGTGAAGGCAAAAAGATGCCAAGTTTCAGGAGCCAGCAGCAGCAAGTAGACTGCAGGAGTGCATTGAGAGAAAAAAAGTGGGATGACACGAAATTTGTTTGCACTCGTGAATACAGATAATTAAAAATAAGATTCATCTGGTTTCATATTAAAGATAATGATATTGTGCAGTATGTTCTCAGCCTCAGTAGGCCCAACCTAGTAGTTTGATCTGACGTTGTCTAATCTTATTGCCCATGCACTGCACTTTTTTTATTTATTTCAAAGCAGTATGACAATTAAGGGGAAAATATTTTTTTCATCGCTCCTACTTGAGTTTGTTAATGTGGTGAGTTGGTTCAGGTGTAAAACGGCATTCAATCAACTGTTAAAATAAACCAGCTGTTAACACATTCATTCCTAAACATGAAAGTAATTTCTTTCCATTATTTGTTGAATAAATGTGTTGCGCTCAGAAAAGATCCCTTGTCATCTATGATTATAATAAGTAGGGTAGGCCACAAATGTAGGCTGAATGATAAAACATAGTACGGAAACACAAAGCTAAATATTTGGAGTTGACATTCTTTTACTGATCCGGGCCCACCTGAGAACAAAAGTCTGGATCCGGCCCCAGAGCCAAACTGAGTTTGACATGCCTGCTTTAACCTCTGCAGCAAACTGCTGGGGATGGTTTACCAGTCTGTGGTGGCCAGTGGGGAGGCAGCACCGTCCAGACTGGACAAGTTGGCCAGACGGGCCGGCTCGGTGGTCGGCCTGAAGCTGGACCCTCTGGACACACAGAACAAGGTGCTGGACATGGTGGAGGACACCAGCCGTCCTCTGCACAGCGTCACCAGCAACCAGAGGAGCCTGTTCAGGGAGAGGCTGCTGCTTCCCACATGTCAGATAACAGACTGAAGAGCTCCTTTGTCCTTCAGGACAAAAAGGCTCAACAAATATACTTTGACAAAAAAAGTAAAAGCAGGATAGCATAAAGACATCAGGAAACACTGTATGAAAAATTGATCAAAAGCGGAGGGCAAAAGTTTTGTAACATTTTCAACTAATCAAATGTTACTTTTTTCATATTCAAATATTTCTATTGGGTTTTGATTTGTACAAAGAAGTCCCCAAACAGCAACCCCAACATTAACAATGATAATATGACCATAACACAGGGAAATAAATAAAGTAAAAAGAAAAAGAGATAAAATATTAAAATAATAGATTTGAGAAAAGTAATGGTAAAAAAGAGGAGAAAAGTTTAATGTGTAAAGAATTATACAAGCAGTAGAGTCGACATTAGAAGGAACAGGATAAAGGGAGGCATTTATATAAACTAATGAACAGAGCGAGTTGTCATGAGCAGGATGAGAACAGGACACAGTAAACTGATGAATACACTTAATATAACAGGAAAACATCAGGCTGTTTGACTGTAGCTTAAAGAATGTGGTCTAATGTGTAAATCTAAGGAAGGCAGAAGAATCCTTATGAGATTCCTGATTTCGGCTGGATTGAGTGAAAGATGATAACTGAAGGATATTAGAAGGAAGTTAAGTCCAGCAGATGGCAGCAAATGTGCAGCTTTAAGGATGCCCACAGCCTCTAGAATACAAAAAGGCTGTGAAAAGGTTGTATTATTAGACCCTAAATATTTTAAGTAAATATTGTATTACGAATAATGATGCTTTAATGTACAGAAATGTGCTTTTATTAGTTAGTTTTAATGACATTATTTTATTGAAAAAAGTTGTATAATAGTTTAAATTATATCTTTGAAAAAAAATGTTTTTTAAAAAACTGTTGAAAAACTATTTGGCTTACAATTACAAGAGCTACCCGTTAATTTCAGATAACATCAAATGTATATTTAAATATTTTATGTTTTATTTTAATGTTTGAATACAAACATTTTACGTTTTAAAATGACCCATTTAGATGGTAAATTAACATTTAATATGAATAATTTTGCTTAAATTTACAGAAATCTGCTGTTTATTGGTTTTATTAACATTATTTTATGCGAAAAGGACGTATATCATTTCATATTAGATGATATATAAAAGTAAACAGTGAGGAAAAAAGCCTTTCAGAGGATTAAAGGGGCCACAGGATGCTTTCTGGGGGCTGTGAGAGCTTTCTGCTGAAGCCGCCGGGCTGAATTACTCAATTCTTTGGTTTAGCTGAGCTGAGTGACATCTCAGTTTATCTACAGATCAGAGGAAGCTCTTAGGGCTTTCTGCTAACCACAGACATGCAGCTCACACCCTCTGATGTCCTTTCATGGTAAACCGATGCAGCAGCTTCTGCTTTTACTCATTCTGAGCCCCAGCTGCTGCACCCCATAAGAAGTGAGGCTGGAAACTCCCAGCTGCACCTGAAGGAGCCCCTCTGAGACGCCTGCTTCCTGATGCAAGAGCCCTGCTGCCAGTCAGGGGGACATTTAGCCCCACCCAGCAAATGTGCTGAGCAGCAGGACCAGAAAGGGATCCAGAAAGAGTCTGCAGCCCCCTGCAGGCTGCTGGAGGGGAGGAGCGCCGTCGGCCCTCTTTGGAGGAGGAGCTCCTTCCCTTAGAGGTGTGAAGAGGGAAGAGAGGCAGCAGCCAAACAGCAGAGCCCCAACATGAGCGTCCATCACACTCTGCTCTGCCTCTTCTTCCTCTGTGAGTACATTCGTTTCCCTCCTGCCTCTCAGTGTCAGCGTCTGTTGGTCCACAGGCTCAAACAGGACCACCAGAGCCCCTCGCAGTGCTTTCAGGGGCTCAGCTCTAAAAGTGTTCTTCCTCTGAGCAGGGCTGTGGAATCCACTGCTCCTCAGACTGCTTCATTAGTGCTCTCAGTAATCTCTCTGAGGCTCCTGAGCAGAACCAAGCCTCAGCCTGCGTTTGGACCTTTGACTTTGCTGTCAGAAGAAAGTCAGGAACAGATATTTGCCACTTCCTGAAAACCAGCGGCCGGCTCAGAACGACTTTGGTCAGTTTCTGTGAAGAACTTACAGCTGTAAGCCGCTCAGCTTTTCCTCTTTGTGAACTCGGACCAAAAGCTTCTTATTTCTACTGCAGTTCTGCAGAAAGAACAGCATGTATGTCTGCATGTACTCTCCGTATTTATGTCTTTTTAGAGCTCACCAAAAAAAACACAAAGCAATGACCCCTTTTCAGAAAGCGCTCAGCATTTCTTTCTTCAGTTTTTTTCCCTTGTCCTGTTCAGCATCACGGCAAGTAGAATGAATTTCTGACTGCCATAGTTGTGCCAGACAGATTGACTTTTTCAGAAAGGGCCTGGGCCTGGAGGGGCCGGTAGGCGTCCACCCCCAGCAAAAGGGGAGGCCCTATATTTGTTAAGCCTTGCTTGCTACCCAACCCTAAGATTGGGTAGAAAGCATTTCTGTCTCACAGTCGGCCAGACTGGGTCTCTGCAGCACCAGCTGCTCAGGACACAGAATGGTTGAACTGGTCGAAGCCATTCATGTGATCAGAATGCATTCTTCTTCCTGGAGTCTCTGTGCATTTCGGGCTTTTCTGGATCTTTGTGGGTTTTCGTAGGATCCAGTTGTTCCTCCACTGTGGTTTTATCTTCTAGTAATCCAGCCCATTGGAGCCTTTTGTTGTGTGTGAATCCGTGTTGAGGATTTTGGGCTGTTTCACTACCTGTGGGTTTCTTCTTCTTCCTGTGAGTAGTTTCTTGCTCAGAGTTTCCTGTTTGACTGTGTTTGGTTCCTCATTTTGTGCCTCCTTTTCTGGTCATTTCCCTCCTTCTTCCTCTTGTGTTTCATCCTTCTGTGGTGTGAGCACAACAGCAGCTTCCTCTTTGGGTCACAGCAGAGATGTGACTCTGTCATAGCTCCAAACCCTGTAAGCTGCAGCTTTTCTTGTTACTCTCGTGCATTATGACGGGGAGCAGCCTGCGTTTTCAGGCTTTGTGTGTTTTTGTGGTAATTAGGATCCAGTTTTCTCTCTACTGTGTTTTTATCTTCTACTAATCCAGCCAATTGGAGCCTTTTGTTGTGTGTTAAATGAGACTTGAGATGTTGTGAAGCTCCCTGCAGGCAAAGTGAAACATGGTGATGAAAAGTGTGTGTTTGGGGCAGCAGCCTGTTGGCCTGAGAGGATCCAGGGTCCTGCATGGCTGCTTTTCCTTCAGGCTGATGTGCAGGCCCTCAGCTTCCACTTCTTCCAAAGCACAAAGCCTTCAGGTGTCCTCAGCAGCCGTCTCGGCCTCCTCCTGGTCTGAGAGCGGCTGCAGATCCCAGCCTGGACCACAGAGAGCTGCCAGCCTCTGTGTGTGTATGTGAAGCAGCATGTTGGGATCAGACTGCAGCACCTCTCAGGAGACTCAAAGATTAACTGCTGACACTTTGTCTTTTCTGCAGCTCTGCAGGCAGCAAACAGCTCTTCTGCTCATGGACTGGAGCTTTTATATGGACAGGTTGGAGGAGGCTTCACCATGGAGTGCAGCTTCTCCACATCTGGATGGGGGGAGGTGAAGTCCCTCTGCAGAGAAAAGTGTGATGGAGGAAACAAGCTCATCCAGACAAAGTCCAACGCGGCTGAAAAGGGAAGATACCGTATCCAGTACAGTGAGAAAGTTCTGTCGGTGAGCATCTCAGGTCTGACCCGGTACGACTCAGGACGCTACCGCTGTGCTGTGGGCAGATCTTCACACATAGATGTGGAGCTGGTTGTAGCTGAGGGTGAGTTTCTGATTTCACTGACAGCTGCTGATGTTTTACTCCAGTTTTAGTTCAGTTTCAGTTCAGGTTTGGTTCAGGTTTTAGTTCAGTTTCAGTTCAGTTTAGTTCAGTTTCAGTTCAGTTTAGTTCAGTTTTACTTCAGCTGGTTGTAGCTGAGTTTCTGGGTTTCACTGAGAGCTTCTGATGTTTTATTCCAGTTATATTTCAGTTTTATTTCAGTTTTTAGTTCAGTTTTAGTTAAGTTTCAGTTCAGGTTTTAGTTCAGTTTCAGTTCAGTTTTAGTTCATTTCTTCTTCTGCTCCAGAAATAACTTCTGCTGCTTTTGTCTTTAACAGCTCTGCTGGAAAAAAGCCAACAAGAACCCTTCAGCATAGAAGCTGGAAGCTCTCTGACAGTCGGATGCTCCTTCAATTTCAAAGGATCTGGAAGCAAGAAGTTGTTCTGCAGAGGAGACTGTTGGCACGGAGGAGAGATTCTTGCCCAGACAGATGGTGTCAGAGCTGAAAAGGGCAGATACAGGATTGGATTTGTGGATAAAAGGTTTGCAGGAGGAGTTCTGTATGTGAGCATCACACAGCTGAACCAGTCTGACTCAGGACGGTACAGATGTTATCTGGACAGGATTGGACCTGATGGATCCACAGATTTTAGCATCCAGGTCTCAGCTGGTGAGTTTCTACTGAATAAAAATCCTCTGAATGTGTGTGGAGGATTCAAAATGGTCTATCATCTGTGAACCACCTGATGTGCACCGTGAAGAACTGTCCACCTTAGTCTGAACACAGTGTTTGGTCTCCATGTCTTCTTTTTCTTTTTCGTCATGTGTCAGCAGCTCCAACAGCTTATAAATCAACATATGTCCCAGCAATTTCCACTCCAACAGCCACTCATAGCTGGAGCTCCAGCTCAGGAAGCTCCAAACCTCCAGCTTCCTCTCACTCTGCTGAGCCTCCTCAGCAGGAAGGAGCAGCATCTAAAGGTACAGAGTTTTAGTAGCAACTCCAAGTTTCCTGGTGGTTGAGTCTTTTCCTCTCACAGCCAGAAATTACGGTTTCCTCTTGTGTTTTTCAATCTCTTTGTGGAGGAGCTCAGTGCCATAATGAACGCTGATGTAATCCTGATGAAAACCTGATGAATTCCCTTAAATCACACCTATCGGTTCCTCTCAAACCTCTGCAGACATGCTGCTGTTGGTGGGTCTGGCTCTGGCTTTTGTGGTGTTCCTGTTCTCAGTGGCTCTGCTGGTGTTCTGCAGGAGGAGATCTGTGACCCCCCCAAAGGGTGAGGAATCTTTTTTGTTAGGGGTGAAGGGGGTTCAGCCTTTTTTAAGAACTAAAATCAGAGTTTTCTTTCAGATCGCTGTGAGCAAACAGAGTATGAGAGCATCAACGAGGTGAGTTTGAGGAACCTTTTTGAACCTTTTTGTTAAAAAACTGAAAGCAAACACAAACTCATTCCTCTTTTTCTGCATCAGGATGAGAGGGGGAATCAACAGACAACTCCTCCAGTGCAGATCTCCACTATTTACAGCTGCGCCTCATTCACAAACCTGCAAGGAGCTGATGATTACAGCCTGCTCTCAGCCCACAGCGCACAGCCAGAAGTAAGAAAACAGAGAAGAACCAGCTCTGATTGGAGTTCTGCCACTTACTCATCTCAAGCAATGGCCTGATGCTCCAGCTGTGGGCTGGAAGCAAGATGCTGTTAGGCCTCTGACAAGGTTCCCATCTGTTCAGTGTGTGTGGAAGTCAGTGGGTCTTCATGCACATCTGTTCACAGTGTGGAAGTCAGTGGGTCTGCATGCACATCTGTTCACAGTGTGGAAGTCAGTGGGTCTCCATGCACATCTGTTCACAGTGTGGAAGTCAATGGGTCTGCATGCACATCTGTTCACAGTGTGGAAGTCAGTGGGTCTCATGCACATCTGTTAAGTGTGTGTTGAGTCAGTGGGTCTGCATGCACATCTGAGGGTGAGCGCACACCTTCCTGACTGCCACCCAGACATCACAGAAGAGTTTTTCCTAAGCGATCTGAGACTAAGAGCTCTGAGACGCATTTTTCCCCATTTTGTTCCATTGGTCGAGGAAAAGCTGGAATTTAAAAGTGTGATGTAAGATCTGCTCAAAACCGGGCCGATTGTATCGGAGCATCTATAAAAGCTGTGCTCTCCCCTCCGCAGGCTGCAGCCGGCACACCTAAGACCATCTACGCAGGGGTGGATTTTTCCAGCAGGGGCCCCCACCCCACGGTCAGAGCCCCCAGCGGGGACCCAGACGTGGTGTACTCTGTTCCCCGGCTGCGCGGGGGTTCTGCGCCGCGGCGCGCCTCCGATGAGTGTCTGTACTCCAACGTGAGGTAGCCGCCGGCTTCTCACTGCAGCTTCTCCATCTGTTTTAATGAGCTGTTCATTTAAGGCTGAGTCTTTAACTTATTCTGTGATAGGAAACATTGTTTACCCGCTGCAGCCGGTTCCTCTCAACCCTCTCTGTTTAGGGGTCACTTTAACCCATTTGTACTTCCTGCCTTTCAGCCTATTAAAGTGTATTTTTTTACTCCTTCTGCTTCTTTTCTTCTTTTCAAACAGTGACCAACAGTATGTTTACATCCCAAATTGATTGTTTGGAAGCCGCTTGCCAGTTTGCCAAACCTACGGAGCTTGTTTTCCAGCTGGATGTTCGGGAGGAACGGTGGAACACCGGATACAGTGACTATCACGGACACCTGTCCTACCTGCCAACCAATGGAGTACTCACCTAACCCTCAGTGAAAGAAACTGAATTACTCTTACCTGATTTAGCGTGTGGGGCGGCACGGTGGTGTGGTGGTTAGCACTGTCGCCTCCCAACAAGAGGGTTCTGGGTTCGAATCCCGGGGGAACCAGGCCCTTTCTGGGTGGAGTTTGCATGTTCTCCCTGTGTCTGCGTGGGTTTTCTCCGGGTTCTCCGGCTTCCTCCCACATTCCAAAAACCTGCATGTTAGGTTGATTGGAGATTGGGGAAATTGCCCTTAGGGGTGAATGTGAGTGTGAGTGGTTGTTTGTCCTTGTGTGTGGCCCTGCGATGGACTGGCGGACTGTCCAGGGTGTACCCTGCCTCTCGCCCGTTGACCACTGGGCTCCACTTCCCCCCGCGACCCCATCGGGGAATAAGCGGTTTTGATAATGGATGGATGGATGGATTTAGCGTGTTTAAATCAGTAGGAGAAGTGATGGAAACCCAAACACACTAGGGAAAAAAATCACCATTCAAACTCTGCGCCACTCTCATGTCTACCACCAGAAATTAATGGATGGATAGATAGATCGATAGATAGATAGCAGCAGACCAGGTCGGATTTAGGATTAGGCATCAAAAAGGTCTGCAGTTAACTTTATAGATACAACAGCCAAAATAACAAGATGACAAAGTGTTCACTAGGATACAGACAGACTAAAAAACTGCTGAAGTAGACGGTTGTGACAGGAAATGACCCAAATGTGCTTCCTCTTTTGGCCTTTTTGCTGCTCCCCTCTGTTCTACAGGTGTAAACTATTCCTCTGTTTAATGTCTCCAAAGTGAGGATAAAAACCCACTTTAAGCATGTCTGGCCATCTGTAAAGAATTTCTGTGATGATTTCACTTTTTCTGGTGAGTCTGAATCCATCAAAACAAGCAAACTCCTCTTTCGGACCAAAGAAAACATCAAATATTCAGATTTCACATGAAAGTGTGAAACTAATCATTCAGAAGTAATCTGACAGTGTTAAGCCTGACTTTGGCTACCACTTATACTTAATGATCATCACCCATCAAAGCTCTTGTTCCACCAGAACAAGCCAGAAAGAACCTGAAGGCCTTTAGAAAGTGAATAGAAGCCACAGCTTTTGCATCTCAGGCTGCCAACAGATGTTCTTGCTGTACCTCCCAAATTTAGATCTTTTGAAAGTTTCGGTTCCTCCTTCAGCTTCGGATGCTATAAAGGCAAAAACCAAAGTTATTTACACGAAACTTTAAAAGAGATGCAGCAAAAAAGGGCTCACAGCTAAAGACAACTGAAAAGCAAATGCTCCTGAAGATAAATGCTAACAAATGCACAAAATGCCATGACTGAAGGCCAGAGAGAAACCTGAGCCTATACGCAGAGACAGTTTGAGCTGCTCCTCACAGTGTGGACCTGATTGGACCATCTGATCGCTGTGACATATTCAGCATGATGGGGAAGTTTAAATGTTCCAAGGGGAGGAGCATTTAGGGATGTCCCGATCCAGCTTTTTGAACTTCCGATCAGATACCGATATTGTATTTGCACTTCCAATCCTTTACCGGCTGATACCGGCCTATCATAGCGTGTATTAAAGTTTAAAGTTATTTAGCATACTTACTTAGCTTTCAGACTCATGTTGAACAGGGATTTACTAATAGCAATTTCATGGTTAGGACACAGACCTGTGGGTTAGGAGATGCTCATGCTCGTGTGGGATTGGACTTTTTTTTTTTTTTTAAATGGATCGGGAGTCTGGATCGGCATTTTGTCATGCCGGCCGATACGCATTTTTTGCAAATTTTGGCGGCCAATCCGATCCAAATTTCGGATCAGGACAAACCTGGAGGAGATCACCTCCAATCTATTCAGATCAATTCAACCACAAGCAGAAATATTCAGACAACAGCAGAAAAATCATTGATCAGAGGCATTTAGATCAGAGGAATTTCATCAAAGGATGTTGATCAAAGCTGAATCCCAAATCTTTTTTTTTTTTTAGCATCAGTATGATCAGCATTAGCATGATTACCATTACTTAGGGGTGGACTGCTCATAACTTGGTTTTTATGAATCAGAAACTGATAATCCACAGCAAAATAAAGGGAGACGTAAAGTACAATTAAACTCCAAAAGCTTACAGCACCTGGTATTCCCAGGCGGTCTCCCATCCAAGTACTAACCAGGTTCAAACCTGCTTAGCTTCCGAGATCAGATGAGATCGGGCGCACACAGGCTGGTGTGGCCGTAAGCTGAAGGTGGCCTGGCAAACAGGCTATTCAAATCAACACTGCCAAAATGGGCTCTAAATGGCGATGGGCTGCTGGCTGCTGGCTCCAAAATAAAATTAAGGGACCCTAAGCGGTAGACTGCTCATATTTTGGCTTTTTGATTTTCTGTTTATTGCAGCTCGGAGATTGTGCAATAGAGAGAACTCATAGCTTCTTTTGCATTTGTGCTGGGAGGCACATAAACAGCAGTGATGCTGACAACAGTAACCTCTCTTGGCAGGTAGAAAGGTCTGCAGTCAACAGTCAAAAGCTCTATGTCCGGAGAGCAGTGGTTGGCGACTGATCTAGCATTTTTACACCACTTCTAAGCGAAACCATGCCCTTGGGTTGTGCAGAGGAAGTTTTGTGTCTTAATGAAGGGCAGTGAGAAATGACATGCCCTCTTTTGTGACAATAAAAGCATTCCCGTGTCTCCTGCGAAGGAAAGGTTGGTTGGTTAGACCTAGCTTCAGGCTGATTAGGTTCCTGTCTTGATGGACGGATAGCCAAACCCTTATCTGATCGAGGGTGCGATACAAACACATTTTTGTGGGTCAACATGAACTCATCAGCCAAGATGGCTGCTTTTGGTAGTAAGGCCACCTTTTGCTCATTCAAAAATACTACTACTTTCTCAGGTAGAGTAGTTTTGAAATCT